TAAACATGTGTAATTTTGCGAATGTGTTGAAAGGTCCTGGGGATAAAAAGGCAGGACAATAAACTAATATTGGCGCGCGTTGCGTTTAACTTTTACGGCCAAGTTTTTATTTTATCTGCGCACATCGCTTTGTATCGCTATATTTTGTATAAATTTATATTTCCCGAGCGTGTGTCTCTTTGAATGCGAAATATTTTACGTGCATACCGCTCCGGGTTGGTAATAGCTGGGCCATCAGAGTTTGTTTTACTTTACATTTTTTCTCTTTTTTTACTTTTCACTTCTTTGTGTTGTGCCGCGACGCGGCATTCGCTTTTAATAGGAAGGAAAAGTTTAATATATTTTATGCGCGCGCGCGCGCTCGGGGGTGGCCGAGTTTGAGTGGCGTGGCGTGGGTTTTGTTAAGTTTTTAATTTTGTGGTCGGACGCGCGACGCCCGAGATGAGTGGAGGGCATTAGAGCTCTCTTGGATAGTAGTAAACCAACAATGGGAATTATTTTTACTTTAATTTTACAACACAAACAAAAACACAAAGTCGCAATATATTAAAAGTTAGGTTAATTTTAAATAAACTAAAAATTCAAAACTTCAATTTTATTACTTGATTTAGAAAGTTATTAATGGTTTGACTGTGATGAAATGTGTGAAACTTTTTGACACTTGAGAACTTTGATACATGAATAATTTTTTGGTATTTTAGCAACAACAAAAAAACTTTCTGAATTTAACATTTACCTAATTTGCGCCGCGGCGTCGGCTCATAATAAAGTTTTTCGCTTTGCAACGTCGCCCCCGGAGGCAGAGCGCTGGAATAATCATCGTTGCTGGCGGCTGCCATTTTTTCTACTAGTTTTTAGCATTTAGCGTTGACGTTCACAATTTTCACGTTTTACATTCCACTTATTCATACTTTAACACCTTCGTTTTACGTTCAGACGCGTACGAAATAAATATTATTACAATGGGAGCTGTAAAACTAAAAACTACCGACGAGACGAGCAAATTTCCACATAAAAACAACAATCATTTATAATTTTTAATGTTTAGTGCTTTGCCGTTTGTGTGTGGGGGGTTTTTATTGCGCGTGCTTTGCGTATATCGCGACGAATTCTCTTTTATTATAATATTTTATCAACAGCGCATCATATGCATCTAATTTATTTTCATATAATTTATTACAGCTAAAAACTTTTCAATTATGATTATGTATAAATTTTCCAAATTAATAACCCTAAACCTGTTTATGGTACTTTATTCCTCCTCGGAGATCAATAAATGAAATTGTTAACTTTTCATTTATACTGTGTTACCTCCTCTATACTGTTATTCATTTGCCTTCTCGTGTTTTGTATACGTGTGTGGGTGTGAGCTGTGTATGTTGTTATTCTTGTGGGGGGTTGGCTTGTTGACTTGTCGCGGCAAACAAGCACGCGCGCCCGAGTAGCCGAGTATAATGGGAAAATGCGAGTTTATAAAAGTTTGAGCACCCGAAAACAACGCAGCGAACAGTCTTATGAACCGAAGTGAAGCGCAGTGCTCACACTGAACGAAATAAATTTCCCAGTTGGGGGGAATAGCCGATAGAGGGGATAAACAAACATTTTGTTTTATTAAATCTGCTTTGATCTAATCAAAATAGAAAAAAGAGTTCTCCACGTAAAAATTATATTTTTATGTTTTTTAATGAAAAATATTAAACACAAATCAATATCTCTGATTTCAAAAAAAAATCTTTGCTTTTGATAAGGATATAAGTTGGGAGATGTGTGGTTTAATTTTTGTTTGATTATTTAATCTCATCGTAATATTCTCGTAATGCATACTCTCACATTGTGTTTACGAAAGGTTTACACCGGACTGTACGGGCACTATAGCATTATCGGCGCATAAAGCTTCAATCAGAAAATCCCTTTTGTCATATTCGCCGGCTTCAGGCGCGGGGATTAGTTTTTCCGGTAAATTTATTGTGGGCTTTGCGCTAATTGAAGCCGCAAATGCGCTGCGTAAACGAACCCCTTTCCAAACCGCCCCACACGCAAAACCAACGTGCTTGTATGAGAGAGAATATGTGTATGTTGCGGAAGCTGCTGAAGGGAAAGACCTCCTCGGGTGGACGGACTCACAAGTCCAGGTCCAGGAGCGCGCTCGTGCATTTCGTATTCCCTGTGTGCATGGAATATGCGAGGAACGGACATATTAAAAGCCGGGACGTTAGCCGGCGTTAACAAATTTATAGGCTCGTGTATTAAAGGGCAAGCGAAACGCTAAGCGCGTTGGTAAACATAGCAGATTTTTTGATAACCGATGCCGAACAATGCGATTTTTTAAGATTTTCGGTTATATTATGTATTCAGAACAAAACACACATTAAATTTATATTATACTCACCTATTGGCGCTACCTGTGACACAAATTAGACTACCAAATTATTCGGACACAATTAGGAGATATTCGTAATTTAAGAACAGGACAAAAAAGAAAAAAGCACTTTTAGTCATGTTTTTGGTCTTTATATCCCACGAAATTAAATTGTTTTAAATTCTTATCTAATTCAGAATTTTTCAATCTCTTATAACTTTCCGTTGGTCGCTATCGTTTTTAGTTTAAAAGATATGCACTATTCAAGTTTATTGACTTACATATGTCAAGAACATTGATTTTTCTTTGTTTATTTGGTTATATTGCAATTACTCGTAATTGCAATTGTATTGTTGAGTCTCATTCGGTGTACCGTAGCAGGGTGGCGGTGAAAGTGACTCCTATTCAGGACACCGTACAATGTCAGCGGTAGAAGTGACTCGTGTTCAGGGCACCGTACGAGGGTAGCGGCAGATGTGACTCGTGTTCAGGGCACCGTACGAGGGTAGCGGTAGATGTGACTCGTGTTCAGGGCACCGTACAAGGGCAGCGGTAGAAGTGACTCGTATTCAGTCACCTTACGAGGCTAGCGGTAGAAGTGACTCGATTCAGGGCACCTTACGAGGCTAGTGGTAGAAGTGACTCGATTCAAGGCACCTTACGAGGCTAGCGGTAGAAGTGACTCGTGTTCAGGGCACCTTGCAAGGCTAGCGGTAGAAGTGACTCGATTCAGGGCACCTTACGAGGCTAGCAGTAGAAGTGACTCGATTCAGGGCACCGTACAAGGGCTGCGGTAGAAGTAACTGGTGATCAGGGCACCGTACGTGGGTAGCGGTAGATGTGACTCGTGTTCAGGGCACCGTACGTGGGTAACGGTTGAAGTGACTCGTGTTCAGGGCACCTTGCAAGGCTAGCGGTAGAAGTGACTCGATTCAAGGCACCTTACGAGGCTACCGGTAGAAGTGACTCGATTCAGGGCACCTTACGAGGCTAGCAGTAAAAGTGACTCGATTCAGGGCACCGTACAAGGGCTGCGGTAGAAGTAACTGGTGATCAGGGCACCGTACGTGGGTAGCGGTAGATGTGACTCGTGTTCAGGGCATCGTACGTGGGTAACGGTTGAAGTGACTCGTGTTCAGGGTACCGTACCACGGCAGCGGTAGACGTGACTTGTGTTCAGGGCACCGTACGTGAATGATTGTATAGCTGACTCCTATTTGCCCATTTTTTCTTATGAATTGAAATTTCATCTTTTATATATGCATTTTAATTAGCTTTTCTTATAGAAAATTTTCCGTAGATTTGAAATCTGTTCCTATATATCTTTTTTAGTTTACGAGATATTCGCGATTGAAAAAAAATGCCAAAAATTGACACGTTTTTTACCTTGTGCTATTGGAAATATTATTATTTTATATTTTTATCTTATAGAGAATTTTCCAATTAATTATTGATTATAATAGTGTAAATTGTGGGACTTGAATCTGCCGCATTCATAGATGGCACTAGGATGCACTAAAAATCATAAAATCGAGTTATACGGCTTATTTTTATATTTATCCCCAAACGTGGGCCCGAGAATAGTTGTATATACATGCTGTTATCTGCGATTAGATGTAAACAACGTTTCTAACGCATGTGTCCCGCGCGCTGTCTCCTAGCATCGCATCAACTTGCTGCATATAGCGAAGTCTAGTTTAGTTTACATCACAGGTAATGTACCTATTGCAAATTCGCGCACAAAGTCGCGTGCCTTCGACGAGCCGTCTTTGCGCACCTCTTGCTTTCTTATCATATACTGTCCCGTCGTTGTTTACGCAGTTTCGGCATGCACTACCGGTGGATTGCATCCAGTTTCGTGCCGGTCGCTGGTTAATCCAGTCGTGCTTTATATCGTTTATTCGGACTTCAATATTCTAAATTTGTGTTATACTCGAAGATCAATCGACTATTTATTTGTACTTTGCGACTATAGTAATTTGTTTAATGTTCGGAAATGCAGGTTTTTCATCGCGTTTGTTATGTATTTTACAAGTCATAACATTCTTCACTCGGCGTTGTGTTTGGTGTCGGTTTCTAAATTAATCGTATAGGGGAGGGTGGGGCAAAGTGGGCCCCAAAAGCGAAAAAAGGGAATTTGTTTACTTTTTTTTACTCGTTACACTATTTTTTACATCCTTGTTCAGTATTCAATATTAATAAGACTTGTCTATCAAAATAAAAAAAATCAGAATATGGGGCAAAGTGGGCCCCCACTCATAAAAATTAGGCTCTTACCTTTGTATCAATTTTTTGCTTATATTATTTTCTTTTGTTATTTCTTACTTCGAATTTGTTGTGGATAAGTTGTTCTTGCAACTTCATCTTATATATCAAAAATTTTAGGGGGCCCACTTTGACCCTCAATTTTTTAAGCCTCCTGAATTTCAGGGGGCCCACTTTGCCCCCAGGGGCCCACTTTGCCCCCCCTTCCCCTATATATCGCCCTCATGTTCATTCCCATTATTAAGAAAAATGAATCAGGCTCGTGTATGTATTTTTTTAACTAAACAGCACATATTGTTTATTTTGTGTTGATTGTTAATTATAAGATAATTCAATTGTATACAATATTTTTGTTTTAATTTATGTTCTCGTTTAGTTACAGCACTCGTTGTGGCTGGCAGTCCGATAAGCTGTAAACTGGTAAGTTAATAATTCAATTATATTTTTCGGTTAAATTTACATTTGCTGTTTATAAACAAATTCTCTATTTATCACGTACTGCCTACCTGCAGGGCCAATGAGTGGGAGGGGGTCAACTGGGGTAAATTCCCGGCCCGGCGGGTCGCTCTTAAATCGCAAAAACAAAACAAAATTGCTAAATTTTTTGCTGGGGCCCGCGGATTTTCTCCGGGGCCTGCGCTAGCTCTCGACGGTCCTGCTATTGCCTACCATCGAAGGCTTGTTTTATAATTTTAATGTAAATATGCTAATAATTAATATTAATTAATTAATATTTGCGTCATTATTAGTTAAATGTACATATTTACATAAATTAAACTACTATCCCTAAGTAGCTTAAGCGATGCAAATCAATACGCACCTCGTTGAAATTTAAATTATACTGATATTATTTATATATTATAAATTTTGCCGAATTACAAAAGAAAACACATGTTTTGGATGTTTGGCTTAATTAGCCGAAAATCTGGCACAAAGTTTAATTTTACCACAGCAAGCAATTTGTTGCGAACCCATGTTGTAACAGTATACGCAAATTGTAATTAATTAATGCGGAAGTTTCAAACTTACATCAATATTCCCAGAAATTTACAGGAGTAGAATTAATATTTGTTTATATAAAATAATACGGTGCTATTTTTGGATTATTTACGTGTGAATCATGGTAGAAACGGAAACATCACGTTTGACACGTCAAACTTTGCATAATTTGACTTGCACACATGCGTTGCACAGATGCACGTAGGACAAGATGGCGTCGACGCTCACATACATGTCTTATTTTAACGCTGCAAAAGGCAAGAATCACTTTACTTCGGTAGTACTTGTACGTACAGGCTGTGTGAAGGAATTTCTAATTTGATAAGTACTGCGCTTCCAGCAACTGCACCGCTGAGAGTGTGAAATAATTCGATTTGTAAGGGTGTAAAATTACAACTGACTGGCATTTACAAGATACAACTAGTTCAAAGTGGGTAATCAAGATGTCAAAGTAGAAATTGGGCTCATATTAACCTAACCAAACTTTTCAACTCTGCTTTCTGTAAATTTTGTTTCATTATTTAGCAATTTTCCAATATTCCGATATTCAAACCGCATAAACTTGTGAGATTTTGATACGCGGGCGTTTCTGTGAGTGCACTGAGAATTGCGGTTAAAGTTAGGTTAGAATTGGTGTTGGATAGCTGCAGATAGCGGTGGAATACAGCGCAAAGTTCGAGTGTAGTTTTTCCACCTCATTGCGCACTCGTGTGGTGTGGTGGTTGCATATATAAGTTGCATTCGCAACTTTCACGGTTTTACAACTCTCGAAATCGACGTGCGGTAGCGCAAAATTGAACAAGTGAAAAGTTACCCAATGAAAAACACGTCAACAAATCGAATAATCACTAATCGGATTTAATTTTGTAGGTTGTAGGTATATAAACAAAACAATGTGTAGATATTTTTTCCTGTTTTACGCCGAATTTAACATCGGGTGTGTGTATTTTCCGCTCAATTCACTTTTCTTTCAAATAAAGCATTCTTAAATTCCGCGTATCTGTACGCTGTTCGCTGCGATAAAGTTTCTGCGCTCACGGAATGAAAACGAAGTTTTATTGCACTCTTCGCTGCCGGGGATTCGGTGCATCCGCGATTCGATGCGGAATGCGCGCGAAGTGATGGAATTCAGTCGTGACACCAGCAAACCCCCCATTACACATTGCCGTGTATGTAGTGTATGTGCGCCGAGTTGCATTGGTTGTAAGATTGAGTATCTGTCGACCTAATAAAAAACGGGCTTGGGCCAACCCTAAAAGAATCGAAACAGTTATAAAAACAAAACTGAAAGAAATATTTTTAGGTTTTGTTCAAAGCCAACCTCACTTGAAAATATTCGCAGCATAAAAACTATATAAAGCGTCCGAATGGTGAATTGAGAGCGTGAAAACTCGCATTTTTCCAGCTTGATGAACTCGTTGGTTGACGTTGGATATAAAGATGTCATTTCTACGCGCATTACCCGTGTCACATCGGCGCGCATGTTAAATAAGCACTTGAAAACGCAAACGCACTCGTTTTGGTGGTTGTCATCCAACCACCACCCCTGTATACATACACGGTTGACATGTGAGTAGACACTGGCACATTGACTGCATTTCATCGCGTCGTGTGTGTAGTTCATTAATTCGTACTTGTGCATTGTGAATGATGAAAATATTAAATGTTGTGTTTGAGTTTTTTTGTGGGATGAAGAGCGTGAGGTTTTTAATTTAATAATCTTCCAAAATTTCGGGCGAGCCTCGCTTAAAAATTAAATATTAATTTTTTCGTTTCGTGTTTGAGTTTGAGTTGGAGTTTGCGTTTTTCCGACACTCGTTCTCGAGCTGTGCACACCACTTTACCCGCTTTTATTATAATTAATTTTGGATTTTTTCCTCTGGGACATGCCTGCCCCGATGGCGTGATGAGGGATTAGACTATTGACTTTGGTTTGTTTGCTGGCGTCGGACGGTTTGCACAAGTGTGGAGACGAGAAAAAATATATATAAAAACCATGTTAAGCAATGGTGGAGGGAAAAGTGTAGAGTCGAGAGTCGAAAATGGGAGAGAAGAAATAAAGGGGATAATTTCGGATTACCCAACGGCACGGCACGCATATTTCTCGACTTCTGGTCGCTCCTCGACTTTTCGCACACGAGCGAACAGGATTCGAGCATACGCCCCGGCGAAAATTTCGAGGAAACAAAATGTGAAAGAGACACGCGCGAAACTTTCGTAGGAAAACTAGCGGGGGCGAAAAAAGGAAAGAGTGCGCACCGATGCCGCATAATAGAAAACGGAAGTGTATGATGAACGCCAACTGAAGACTCCTGCTAGCTGTGCTATGGAGTGGGTGGTTATGGGCTGCGGGGACGAGTAGAGGGGAGGTGGAAACGCCGCGTGCGGAAAACCGAGATTGATCCCGAGCGACCGCGTCCGAGGCGGATTTTCACGCGGGGATGCACACGGCCGTACGCACGTTCTCACCCATGTTGCCAGGCACGATTTCAGAAATTACGCTTCAGTCCAAACTTCAAAAAGTGCCATCCAAAGCGTCGGAATGCGGCGGAATGAGTTTATTCGCCATTCGCAATCATTTTTATCATTGGCGATAACAATAAAACGCGGCCGCGCCCTGCCTCGATAAAATGCATAATTAATCGACGCCTCACAAAATCCCACAAGGGGGAAATAAAATAAATGAAAATGAGCAAAAAGGCTAATGCAAAAAGTCGTCAACGATGAAATTCATAGAAACCGACATTTTAGGGTTAATATCAAGTAAAACAAACTGCGAATAGTGTAGAAAAGTGAAGAACCGTTGAATCTCAAGGACTGACTCCGTGAATCGAAAGCCGTAAGTTGAGTACCACCTCCGCGCGGCCGGGAAGCTGAAAAGCGATTATTCCAAGTTCTATAGCAATAATTCATCAACGCGGGCAATTTATCTGCAAGTCAATTTATTCACCAGGCAATTCATCTATAAGCCAGCTCTCGGGAGGTTGGAAGATCTAGTGTGGCCTGACACCACAACCAGAGCTCCCACTCTCTAAAGCACTAGCGAGGAGGAATGAGAAGGTGGGAAGTCGTAATTTCATGGAATGTCAGCGAACTGACTGAGAGATATCAATACCAACATCTTGAAATGGTCCCAGAGCACAAACAAGAAGAACTGAAGAAATAATTTCTGCGATAGTTCTTATTAAATTAGGAAGTAAAAGAGAAGGTTGGATTGGATAAACTCAAACGTAAGCAAGATGAAGCTTTATGCGAATGAAATTAAACTTAAAACTATACAATTTGCCTGATTCGTAAGCATTGCAGACAGATAGCATAATCACATTAAGTTCTGTGTCGTTCCTCGCTTACTCTTCGCCCGGTGGCCTGATTTTGCTTCATCTCTAGACGCCTCTAGTTGGTTTCTTAGTCATGTCGAGAGTTGGTCTTGAAGTTGGAAAACTTCTGTTCGTATACTTCGTACACCTCGCACCCTTTGTTAGCTTCCTACGTTTTGTTTCAACTTTGAGAGCATCTGAAGGAATTCAATTCTTCTCCACGCTTTATTTCACAGGCGCTAATGGTGTAAGTACAAGTACCTGGATCTGGATTTGGTAACTTGTTGGAAAGTCATTTTGAAAGTCGGAAAATTGAAATTTTTTGTTTGCGAAAGTTTTTTTTTGTTAGGTGTATAATTAAACCGTTTGAGGTATTTTATAGTAGGAGCACGGAAACGGTTATATTCGAGTCACAATAATGTGCGGAATATTTTGCTATTTTCGAAACCGTTGTTCCGATCTTCGAACGCGATCTCTGAACATCTGAGCATACGGAGTTTACGAAAGTTTTGACATTGTTTCTACGCTTAAGGAGGACTAACTATTTCCAACTAAGGACATAAATTTGATTCTATAAAGTGCACCAGGATTAAAGTCTCCAATCAAGGCATCTCAGATCTAAGTTGAATTGTCTGCGAAAGCAATATTCTCGTAATATTTTTTCTTATTTCTCTAGAAACTATTTGTTGCAAATAAGCAAAATTTACTAAACAATTTCTTTGATATCGAATTAAGCTAGAATTGTGTTTGGTTTATACACCAAGCAAATCCAATTAAAGCCAGGATCGCAAGCAACGCTCCGGTCCAATGGTATTACTCCGAAATGCTGAAACGGTCATCGAATTATAATTAACATTAATATTAACCGAATGGCATTAGATTCGATTTCCGTGCTGAAACTGCGAAACAATAACGATGTGAGTTTCCAATTCGTGCGATTCACATAATGGCGATAATAATACACCGGATTGGCGCATCAAGTGTGCTCCACAGCAAAACACACCGCGTGGACAGCCATGGCAAACATAATTTGCTCAAATTTACAGCGGAAACCGCCAGAAATATGATATTCACTCTCTGAGTCTTTGTTCAAATGACAAGCGT